GAAGCCGTCACCTCATTCATCGAGCCGCCTTCCGAAGATGCACGGAGACGTCGGAATTGGACACTTCTCACAACCGCGTCATTACAACTGTCAAGCTTCGTCGCGAAGTTCGTGGAGCTGTAGTCGGGGACGATCCAGAGTTGGCCATTAGAGCCAGGGATCGGAGTAACGTGATAGGGAACGTTATAGGCAGTCGCGACGCAGATATCCAGCCGGATAGAAATGGAAAGAGTTTGCTGCTGTTGATGGAATATCAGAGATCCGCCCGACTCATCACTCATGGAAGTATAAAAGCTTCCCACGGGGTGGCTTATTGGTGGCGCATACGTAGTGGTAGTTCGGACCGGCGGAGACCTCGTAGTTAGGCCTGGCATGGGACGAGTGGGACCAATGGCTAACCAGCAGTTCCACGAAGACCCCCTCACACCGCCACTGATAGTGATGTCGCTCATGAGAACACCCTTGTTGGATTTGACGTGTAGACTGTCGAAGAAGTCGGCATTAATAGAAGGATCTCGGCAAGCAGCGAGGCGTACTTTAAAATCAGTAGAGCTATAGTCAGGCTTGACCCAATACTCGTAGTTAGAACCGGGGATGGGAGTTATGGTATAAGGGACGTCAGAGGCCGAAACACCACAGGACCCGACCGTGGCACTGATGCGTAGCACCTGCTTATCTTCGTCGAAATCTAGACGACCACCGTACCGGTTTGATCCCCTGCAACCGAAAGCGCCGATAGGATGGCTCTCAGGAATTGCTGGGGTGGGCTGCACCGTAGTGGGAGGAGCTTGTGTAGTTGCTGGTTGCGTGGGGGCGGGGCGGCTACTTAACCAGTATTCCCATGCTGACCCGCTACCAACGTTGACAGTGATATGGCTCATTAGAACACCATCTCTCGACTCCACCCGGAATGTGTTGAAGGAGTCAGCATGGAGAGCAGTAGACCTGCAGCTACTTATGGCTGTCTTGAAGTTGGTCGAGCTGTAATCAGGTACCACCCGAAACTCGTCAGAACCGTGAATAGGCGTCACAGTATAAGGGACGTCAGCAGAAGCGCCGCACTCACCGTCAATTACGCTTATGTGAACAGTCTGCTGGCCACTAGCGAATACCAGAGTACCGCCAGATGTAGCGGACGCTCTGCAAGCGTAGGTGCCCACAGGGTGGGAAGCGCGAGCGCCTAGGGTAAGGCTTAAGCATGAGATAATGGAAGAAAGGTATCTCATGTATGAAGATTGCAACAAATAACTGCCAGGAAGGGATGACACAAAAAAGTAGCAAGTCGAAACCACAGACGCCCTGCGGCCTCACGCGGAGAAGAGACGCCATACTGCGGCCTTTTCCGGAGACGGGACGCCTGGTGAATCGTGGCAACCTTGCCCAGTTGGTGGAACCACCGTAACTCAACGCCATGGTCCGTGTGGAGTGTTTATCAGTGGAACCGGGAATTGAAGAGCTGCATAGAAGTCGTCATTGTTCAGGGCCCATCGATTGATACAACGGTAAGGTGGTTCATTGCAGTGTCCTAGG